AGGGTCGCCTCTGGGGCAGGAGGGCTGGTGACTGACCCCTCTTGCCGCTTCCGAGGGCCACTGGGCTGGCGTTGTGACCCTCCCCCTGCTCCCCTGCCCCTCCTCTGTGTGCCCAGCGTGTCGGGCACCCTGCTTGGCTGTCTCCAGGGTCTGGCATGGACTTGGTCCCCAAGGGAACTGAGACCAGGGTCCCGGCACAGCCCGGAACCCTTTGGCCACAAGGGGTGGGGTCCGTCGGGGCCGGGCAGGGGGTCACGGTGGATGAGATGGTTGAATGCTGTATTTTTTAAAGAATAAAATATTTTTAAATCAACACCCGAGTCTGGCCCGAGGGAGCACCTCCAGCCCTGGGCATTGGGGGGCCCCGTGCATGTAACTGCCCCTCCCCACGCAGAAGGTGTCAGGAGAGACTCTGAGGGTGCGAGGGCACCGCCTCACGTGGGTCTGCCGGTGGCCGGGGGCTCAGCGGGGGAGGCGGCACCTCCCTGCGACATGGGGCCGGGTGTGGGTTTCCTATGGCTGCTCTGAGTTCCCCAAACTTACTGGCTTTATATATTTTTGTTGATTTCAGAGAGGAAGGAAGAGGGAGAGAGAGATTGAAACATCCATGATGAGAGAGAATCATGGATTGGCTGCCTCCTGCACGCCCCCCACTGGGGATCGAGCCTGCAACTCGGGCATGAGCCCCGACCAGGAATCGAACCGTGACCTCCTGGTTCATAGGTCGATGCTCAATCACTGAGCCACACCGGCAGGCCAAGCTTACTGGCTTTAAACGACACACATGCACTCTTACAGGGCTTACACGCGGGGAATGAATCCAGGGCTCAGGCCAGGCGTGGGCAGGGCTGGCTCCCCTGGAGGCCTCAGGGGGAATCCGCTCCCACACCTGTTCCAGCGGCCCCTTCCTCCCCTTCAGAGCCAGAGGCGGAGCGTCTGCTGCCGATGATCCGGCTTCCTCTGCCTTGGGAAGGACGGCTCTAATTATAGCCACTTCCCTTTCCTGGTGGGGCAGGGGACGCGCCTCTCAAACCCTTAACTCCGCCTGCCAGCCCCTTTATGGAGGAATAAATTCACAGGTGGAGCAGTGGGATGGGGGCTCCCTGGGGGCATTCGAGGCCTGCCCCACTGGGGAGCTCTGCCCACTGGTCTTCCCAGCCTCAGTGGGGCTGGGCTATGGCGGGTGTGTCTGGGCATCTGAAATCTTGCTGTGTCCAGATGGTGGCTGCTGTGAGGGGAGAGGGCCTGGGTCTTTGGTCCCAGGGGCCCCGGGAGAGGTTCCCTGGGGCTGAGGACTCAGCGGGGGATGCAGGGGTGAGGAGAGGACCCGGGTCGACTGCGGGTTCAGCCACTGACCTGGCACTGTCCTTTCTCCTGTGGGCACAGCCCGGGCGAGGGCTCTGGGCTGTCCATCCCTGCAGAAGGGGCCCCGCCCTGCCTCCCCCAGCAGAAGCCCTCTGCGTTCACTCATCACCACTCAGGACCTCTCTGTCCAGCTGAGGGCTGGGCAGCCACAGGTTCAACAAGCAGAGCACCTACTGTGTGCTGGGCACTGGGTGGGCCCTGGGATGCAGGCAGAAGCCCACGTGCCAGCAAGGCAGTAAGACTATATAATAGACGATGCAAAAGCAAGGAAATGGCATGTGAATCGGTAAAAACTTACAAAAAAGAAAAACAGCCAGAAAAGGGGCTCGGCCCAGGATGAAGGTTTACCCAAAGGACGGGGAGGCCCCGCCGAGAGGCCGATGTGTGAGTGGAGACGTGAGGGCCCCCCCCCACCCCCCACCCGCATGGAGGCGACGGAGGATCTGAGAGAAGAGCTTCCGGGCAGAGGGAACCGGACGTTCACAGGCCCGGGCGGGAGCGTCACAGATATGGCCAGGCCAGCACAGGGAGGCCGGGTGGTGGGGACTGGTCAGGGAGGCAGGTCCTACGGGGCCTTGGCCATGATGTGGGTGTGGCTTTGGCTCCAGAACGGGTCCTGGAGGGGCCTGAGCCGCTGAGGGGCCTCCTGTGACCTGGGGCCACGGGAACAGGCGTGGGCGTGAGCACAGAAGCCGGCCACCCGTGAGGAGGGGCTGATGGCGCTGGTCTAGGCAAGAGATGGCGGGTGACGGGCAGGTGCCGGCGGACCTGAAGTGGAGCCCAAGGGCCTGGCTGGGGGGCTGGGGCCCCCTGAGGCTTGGGGCCCGAGGAGCCTGGAAGAGCCGATGTGGGAGGCCGAGCCAGGCAGTCCGGCTGGCCCAGCCACGGGGTTGTGCTCTGAGCGGCACCAGGATGTGGGGAAAGCAGACGGGGAGGCCCTGCTCCTAGAGGGAGTAGCAGGCCGGGGTGCAGCTGCAGCCTGGGGAGGCTCAGCTCCCCATCCCCAGGCCCCGAAGGGCTCTGGGGCGGGGCCACCGGGCCAGGAAGGGCAGGTGCAGGGAGGAGAGCGAGGGTTAGAGGGGAGGCCTGGCATGGTGTCGGCATGCCCGCGGGGTCTGGCACTGCCCCCAATGCCCGTTTCTCGGTGAGCGTCACCTGGGCTTGGGCCCCGTGTCTCCCCCAGGAGACAGGTGTGAGGCCCAGGATGGACGGGTGGCCTTGTCGGGACAGGCGGGGGCGAGGAGGGGAGTGAAAGAGGAAGGAGCGGGCCTCCTGTCTGCCATCTGACTATGCAAATGGCCTGACTCATTGCACGGCCCCCCAGCCATGGCAGGGAGGGGGCTACGAGGTTGTGAAATTCTCACTTCCTCTGCTGGCAGCAGTCAGCGGGAAGGGACTGCCTAAGCGAGACCCTCTGGACAAGCCCCCTCTCCTTGTCATGGTAGGACCACCGCCCTCTCCCCCCCACCCCTGGGGAGGGGATAGCGGGGACCAGGGCAGGGGGGCCGGGTGGGGAGAGAGGTGGGCTTGGCAGCTACAGACAGTAGGGGACGCGCTGTCACCCACATGGCCCCGGGGCGCTCCCTGGGCCCCGAGGACATCAGAGCAGAGCCCATCTCTGAGCAGGAGGCCCCAACCCATTGCGTGGAGGAGGAGGCTGAGGCCGAGGGCTCGCTCGCTGTGGCCCAGGGGCTAAGGCCAAGCTGGGCGCCCAGGCCTGGCTCTGACCCGCAGCAGGTCCGGGGCTCCTGGGCACGGGGGAAAGAGCTGGGCAGTGCCCACCGGTGCCCAGGCCCTGGACGGTCCCCGGCCTGGACCCCAGCGAGAGACCCTCATTCCTGCCTGGGTCTTGGCCAAAGGAAGAGGGAGGGGTTGGGGAGCAGCGGGCAGAGGGTGGAGGGGGCTCCTTGCTCAGGAGAGAAGAGAACTGGGCTGAGGACAAAGGGAGAGTGGGGGGAGCCTGGGGCCTGCGGGCACCTGCCCGGCTCTGGTGCAGCTGGGGCTTGGTTATGAGTGAAAGTCTAGACCGTGAGTCTGGGTTCCGGGTCTCAGAAGCAGTTCTGCGTCAACGGCTGAGTCCCCGACCCAAGTCCAGGTTCCCCATGAGCCTTGGAGGCGGGAGGGGGGTGGGCAGAGAGGCAGGAGCCTCCCTGGGGAGGGCTGGGGGGGACTCGGTGACCTGGGTGGGGAGGTGAAGCTGGGCTGGTACTCACGCCGTCTGCTCCCCCTCCCCCCCAGGGCCCCTGCCATGGCGCCCCGCTGCCCCTGTCTCTCCTGGTTCAGGCCCAGGTGCTGGCCCTGGCCCTGGCCCAGGGCGCCCTGCCCGCCTTCCTGCCCTGTGAGTTCCAGGCTCCCAACTACATCAACTGCGAGTGGCTCTTCCTGACGTCCGTGCCGCACTTCTCGGCGTCCTCGCCGCGTGGGAACATCACGAAGCTCTCCCTGAGCTGCAACCGCATCCGCCACCTCCACAACGCCGACTTCGCCCACCTGCCCAGTCTGCGGAGTCTCAACCTCAAGTGGAACTGCCCGCCCAGCAGCCTCAGCATCATGCACTGGGCCTGCCACATGACCATCGAGCCCCGCACCTTCCTGGCCGTGCCCACCCTGGAGGAGCTGAACCTGAGCTACAACAACATCACCACCGTGCCCGCCCTGCCCCCCGCCCTCAGGAACCTGTCCCTGAGCCGCACCAACATCCTGGTCATTGACGCCACCAGCTTCAGGGGCCTGCACGCCCTGACAAACCTGTACATGGACGGCAACTGCTACTACCAGAACCCCTGCGGCCGGGCCGTGCAGGTGGCCCCGGGCGCCCTCCTCAGCCTGCACAACCTCACCCACCTGTCACTCAAGTACAACAACCTCACGGCGGTGCCCCGCGGCCTGCCCCCCGGCCTACAAACCCTGCTGCTGTCCTACAACCGCATCGTCTCCCTGGGGCCTGCGGACCTGGCCAACTTCACAGCCCTGCGTGTGCTGGACGTGGGCGGAAACTGCCGCCGGTGCGACCACGCCCGCAACCCCTGCGTGGAGTGCCCCCCGGGCTTCCCCAAGCTGCACCCCGACACCTTCCGCAACCTGAGCCACCTGGACGGCCTGGTGCTGAGCGACAGTTCTCTCTCCAGCCTGGACACCCGCTGGTTCCGGGGCCTGGGCAACCTCTCCGTGCTGGACCTGAGCGAGAACTTCCTGTACGATTGCATCCAAAACACCACGGCCTTCCAGGGCCTGAGGAAGCTGCGCAAACTCAACCTGTCCTTCAACTACCACAAGGGGGTGTCCTACGCCCACATGAACCTGGCGCCCTCCTTCGGGCGGCTGCGCGCCCTGGAGGTCCTGGACATGACCGGCATCTTCTTCCGCGAGCTCAGCGAGAACACGCTCCGGCCGCTGGCCCGCCTGCCCGTGCTGAAGACCCTCAAGCTCCAGATGAACTTCATCAACCGGGCCCAGCTCAGCATCTTCCAGGCCTACCCCAGGCTGTGCCAGGTGGATCTGTCCAACAACCGCATCAGCGGGCCTCTGGGGTCGAATGCCTCCACGTGGGAGGCGGATGCTGGGGAGGCGAGCCGGCGGCCCTCGGGGCACCTCGCGCCAGATCCCAGGGACACCCCCAGCTCTGAGGACTTCATGCTAAACTGCAAGAACCTCAGCTTCACCTTGGACCTGTCGCGGAACAACCTGGTGACGATCGAACCGGAGATGTTCGCCGGGCTGTCGCGCCTCCAGTGCCTACGCCTGAGCTACAACAGCATCTCGCAGGTCAACGGCTCCCAGTTCGTGCTGCTGACCAGCCTGCAGGTGCTGGACCTGTCCTACAACAAGCTGGACCTGTACCACGGCCGCTCGTTCACGGAGCTGCCCTGCCTGCGGGCCCTGGACCTCAGCTACAACAGCCAGGCCTTCACCATGCAGGGCATGGGCCACAACTTCAGCTTCGTGGACCAGCTGCCCGGCCTGCGCTACCTCAGCCTGGCGCACAACGCCATCCACAGCCGCGTGTCCCCGGAGCTCCGCAGCGCCTCGCTCAGGGCCCTGGACTTCAGCGGCAACGCCCTGAACCGCATGTGGAACGAGGGAGACCTCTACCTCCGCTTCTTCCAGGGCCTGAGCCAGCTGGTCAGCCTGGACCTGTCCCGGAACCACCTGCACGCCATCCTGCCGCGCAACCTGGGCTACCTCCCCCGGAGCCTGCAGCAGCTGCGGCTCCAGGACAACTACTTGGCCTTCTTCAACTGGAGCAGCCTGACCCTCCTGCCCCGGCTGGAGAGCCTGGACCTGGCGGGGAACCAGCTGAAGGCCCTGACCAACGGCAGCCTCCCCGCGGACAGCAGGCTCCAGAGGCTGGACGTCAGCCGCAACCGCATTAACTTCGTGGCCCTCGGCTTCTTCGCTCCGGCCACGCAGCTGCAAGAGCTCAACCTCAGCCACAACGCCCTCCGGACGCTGGACCCCTCGTGGTTTGGCGCCCGGGTGGCGGCCGCCCTGAAGGTCCTGGATGTGAGCGCCAACCCCCTGCACTGCGCCTG